AAACGCAATTTATCAAAAGAAATTCAGAAATGCAGCTATTGATTCCATTCATCAAGTACTAAACCTTGTAAAATCGACTATGATGTGACAATTTGTCGATAATACTAGATAGCAATGAGTTTGGCAAGCATTGATGGACCAGATCCCATCTGAACTAAAGTTAAGCTTGTATGAAAAGTTAAGGATTTGTCGCTATGTTGAAGAAAGTATAATAAACATAAAAACTATATTCATATGTTTTTGCTACTAGAACCAAGGTGGAATTTTTGCGAATAGTTATTTCAAACACGAAAAGTATACATGGAATCAGACCATGGTGATCGGATGAGAAAACTATACAATTGGCATGTATATCTAGTCAAAGACAAACTTGCAGATAACCTACTGCATGATAAGAAAAACAAAAGAGAGAAAATGAGAAAGTAGAAACCTTATTAACGGCAGTATAACAATGATAGGTCCATTTAAAATTTGATTCATCAAATCCATAGTCATCCAAACGATCAGATTCATCGTTTCTAGAGTCAGCTTCATCAGTTCCATAATCCTGCAAAATATTAACAAATGTAAGCAAAGGTCCAATACTACTAGTGAATTCAGATAAGGATGCGGTTAGCATGCGTGGCAATAAATATATTTTTGAAATGTAAAAATGCAGGCTTGGCAATAAATATATTTTTGAAATATAATTTGATCCCAAGTTTTAGAGAATATATAATTTTTAACATGGAGATCATGAATAAAAAATAATAATAATAATTGAAAACTATAAATAATAATTATATTAAAAAAACATTTGGGCCATTAGTTACAATTGTTTTTAAATGGACCACCTATTTGCATCCATCTTCAAGATGGATGCTTTATGCTTCTGAATGCGGTCCAGCCCTGCATGAAACAATTGTTCTTCAGATAAACCCTATTTGTAAAACAAATCAACTAAACTTACACTGCTTCATTTATAGCAGCACACATACGATTACGATAATGTCCAATACAATATTGCTCCGTGATGTAGCCATAATTATAAATTTGCACTATTATAGAATACTTTCTGATTATATAGCTTAGGGAAAAATGCATGCCTCATGAGCAATGTGAATTTGATGTTCCATAAGAACTAAGGGAGTACATATGCCTTTCAGTAAGGAGGTTGAATCAAGAAGATAGAAGGTTAAGAAAATTTTTAGATGCTTCAATATGAATAGGCAAGTGCATAGAAGCTTGCAAAAGGTCATTGAATGTTGAATTCAAAAGATTATAAATATGTACATTAGGTGCGACTTTGGATGGCCTGAATAGGTATCTTCTTGTTTGGAAAACTAATGAACCAAGGCAAAAACATTGTTTTTTAAAAAAACGTTTTCCCTGATTAGAAGTTCCATGAAATGAGTGACACAAACACATAGTGAAAGTCTTACATTACTAATATATAAAAATAACCCTCTCCATAGTGAGTTCTGTATGTGTGGATGAATTATTATGTTGTTGATTCATTTTCAAAAAGAAAACTGTTGATAATGTGGATTAGTTTATATATATCGGTGCACCACACTGTAAATAACTAAGGCAAAAAGGTTCATGTTGGGCTAGCCTTTAAGATTTCAAACCAATAGGGTGAGATTTTTATAAGGTGTCAACCTTAAACAGTCACGGTAACCTGCACTTCCAAATCCTTTAATAAGATGGATTTTTGGTAGCAAAACTCTTATTATAACCTAAAAATCTATTTTTTGCCCTTATAATAAATTGAAAGCTCAAAAAATGGTGCAAATCTAGCAGATCTATAAGCACTTAAAAATCTTGAAAATTAATGATCTAGATAATAATATATTATACAATGCATGTTTAACAGTGGAAATTCATTTTTACTTTCATATCCATATATATTGAGGTCAATATGATCAATTAAAGAGTTTTCTAGTGATGAAACAACCTTTTTCGATAGGTTTTCTAAATGTACCTTATTTCTACAGTATAAAGTTGATAGCTTATATAAACTTTTTCCAAACCAATAATAGCTGACAAGATAATCATCTCCATCAAAACAGTTGGATTCACAAGAAAACACTTTATGCAACTTAGCTGACAATAACTAGAGTCCTTTTGATTATTTTGGGACCATAACATACTTAGATATGTAAGTAAACAGCAGAAAACCCACAACAACAATCTCTTTTTTCGATGAATCTCCTGAGTAGTCTTAAGCTATTTGATAGAAAATGAAAACTTCCGTAAAAAAAACCAAAAAAATGGTGCAATACACTAATTATAAAAATAAAGGAAATACAATTGTTTGAATAATACAAAGCTTGTAGGACATACCTGTGCGGAACCCATCGATAGATAAAAAATTTTACTTCTCAATCACCTAAACAGAGCACAAAAATTCTTTATTAACATGACAAAGGCAGGTCATTTAAAATTATCAACAAGTATTCACAGCAGAGAAAGGAAAAAAAAACCTACAGTATACATTAGATCACAGCAATATCCATCACTGGTTCCTGCAAGTGATTTAAACGAATCGACTCAGACTTGGCCGACTAACTCGGCCGCAGCACCCTGCTGAGGCGAGTTCAGTACGAACTTGAGCATACAAAAAAACATAATTTTCTTTTCTACTGAATCACTAATTAATTATGCATAATTTTCATGTCTTTTTATATGAATTATGAATTTTTTTATTGTAGGCTTTGTTTTCTAATTTTCTTTTATGGATTTTCTGAATTCTTTCAAGAAAAAAGTTAAGATCAAATAAGATCAAAAGCATATAACCACAAAAACACTGAAGAAACTAGTCTTTTTTTTTTTTTGCTACATATGAAGAAATTAGGATCAACTAAAACCCAAATCAGAGATTAGTATCTTTTTGTTTTTTTTTTTGCTATAAAAATAAATATAATTGAAAAACTAGAAATGATGTATTTCTGACTTTTTCTTTGGAGGACTATTATTTAACGTGTAGATCCATACTCTCTTTATCACAGAACGCGTAATAACAGGTGCGGGCTTGGACGCACCAAACAATTCTCCTAGTCTTATTCCTATTTTTCTATTTTTATGAGTAAGGTGGGCCCCAATACGGGGATAAAGGAATAAATTGTTTGTGGAGTTTCCTTCCTTATATTATAGAGAAGAATCCCATATAATATTTGGAGAGAGACTTGGGGAAAAAGCAACAAGATTTATCTTTAAATGATAAATGCACCCTTAATATAGTATTTAAATCGCTTTCTTCTCACGAAAAAAGAAAAGGTCAAGGTGTTTATTCATATATACACCTTCATAAAAACCTAATTTATTTTATAGGAAAAGTAAGTTTTTCTTTCTTTATAATTTTTTCTCAATTATTATCATTGGGCGCTCATGCGATGCAAAGAAAAATCACATAAATAGAAATAATTCGATATAAATAACCAATGAGAACCAATAATTCCACAATGATTTTGATCTTTATTCTATAAATTATTTCACACGTGTGCACAGGGGCACACATGATAAAATTAAAAATATTTCCTGTCATAGAAAAGTCATCAAAGTGCCTCTGAATTTTTGGGGTATTTTCGTCATTTATTTTCATAAGAAATACTTTTTAAATTTTTGCTAAGACACCATAAATTTCACTCAAAAAAGTTTTGTTGAAAATTTTTTAAAACCATACATTATTTGGCTTGTGAGATGAGCAATCCAAAGGTCCAACATAATTTATATGTGGGTGGAGTCACGTACAAAGCTTTTCTAAATTTATAAGCACTAATAAAATAATAAGGTGCAGTTCTAAATTTTATCATATATGTAACTTTGATATAAAAAAATTTTAAGATACATTGAGAATCTATTTTCATTTCTAATTATAAAATTTTAAACTCTAAAAATGGTTCAAATCAAGTTGACCTATAAATATATGAAAATCTTGAAAATTGACAGTCCAGATGATGTGTTGCAAGATACACTATTTCACGAACTCTAAATCTTTTTTTCTTTTGATGTTCATACATCTCGATATCAAGGTTTAAATGATCAATTAGAGGGTTTTCCAACATCCAAACAACTTTTTACGATATATTTTTTATGTTAATCTTTATTTCTACAATTTAAAGTGGCAACCTTATTTAAAAATTTTCCTAAAATAAAAGAGCAGCATCAAAATTCACACTATAAGAAGTGCCATAATTCAAAAAAAAAATCTAGTATCAAAATTAAGAAAATTTTTATCTTTTTTATGGATATGTAATCCATGAACATAAACAAATCAAAAAAAATCAATACTAGTATTAAGAAGGAGCATCAAAACCTGTAAAGAGAGAAAACTGATGTAGGATCACCAAACTGTAGAGAGAGAAAGCTGACGTAGGCTCCCCAAGAAAACTGGTGTAGGCTCACCAACTTGTAGAGAAAGAAAACTGGCGTAGGCTCACCAAACTGTAGAGAGAGAAAACTAAAACTGGCGTAGGCTCACCAAAGAGATGTGTAAAAAGAGAAAACTGGCCAAAGAGATGCCTTTGTTGAAACTGGTTGAGACGTCGAAAGAGAGATATTACGTTGAATATTTTTTTGAAAGAAAAAATACAACATTGAATTTATAGAGAAGGACTCCTACATCAAATAGGAGTCATGAGTGATAAAGATTTATGGAAGGATTTTTTTATTTATTGATTTATCTTTTCCATGTTTTAGGAAAGAACCCTAA